GAGGTTGTAAGATTGATGCGGGGGCGCACGCTGGGGAACAGTGCCCCAGCTCTGTACAGGCACCTGTGCCTCAGGCATAAAGAACAGTTCCTGGGCCAGTCAACAATGCACCTGTCTGTGCTGAAACTAGAGACGTACTAACACGGCTACCTGAACTAAAGGCCCGTCACACCTCTGTCTATGGCTCCATCTTAAAGATGGATTCCACCAAAAAGGTAACACCTGATTTAGTGTTACATTTAGTGTTATTTTTTCATTGTAAAATAAAAATGTCCTGTTCCTTTGATAATGATAATACTTCTTATCATGTACTTTAGGTCACCAAGAAGCTAGCTGGTGATGCTGCTGGCACAGCTGCGTGGGTGACAGATGTGGGGAACGAAATTGGACAAGATGTAGTCCTGGACAGCCCCAGACTTATGGCTGAAACAATGGTAGGTTCAGTAATTAATTGTTCATGCACAATTGTTGTCATATACCACCCTTCTCTGCACATGTACTAATTGTTATATTGTGCCTTACATAGGCACAATGCACAGAAAAGGAGGCAGGAAAGGGAGGTCTTGGAGCAGAGTATTCAGACCTTTACCACTCGCTTGGTGGCCTCTGAACCCCTCCCACCTGTGCTGTTTAAGCATCCGGAACCGGTCCAGCATGGGCACCAAGCCTATGAGTTCAACATTCTGGCGGATGCATCAGGACAGGCAGTACAGCGTTCCTTTGCACAGGGGCCATGCTAACCTGTATCGTTCCAATTTTAGTATATGCGCTGCCGAAGCAAGCACGAACAAGTGATCTAGACGTCTGCTATATATAGCAGTGTCTCCGGGAAAGTCTTCTCGAAGGTGGTGAGTGGTTAAACCATGATTTAGTCATTTACCAGGACAATACAAGCACATTTGCATGTTGCATTTGCAATCATTTCTGATCCTTTAAACTATATATTTGGTGTAATTTATGTTTTTCTGCCAAGAAACAAGCAAGCATGCGGATCAGGCGGCCCTCTAGCCAGTAAGATGGGCTCTCAGTGCTGACACATTCAGGTCATGTGATCCGTTCTCCTCCCCCAGCACTGCAGCTCCCAACCCCCAACGTCAGGACAGTTCCTTGGCTTGATGAGCCTGAAGCACCGCTACAGCCTCTTCAACCTAAACAGTGCAGAAAAGTGCAATGATCAAACAAAATCTGATCTTTGAGACTAAATGTGGAGTACATGTTTTGAGCAGGTGAACCTTGGAGTGCAGGGACTCTGGAGACTCGAGCATGTGCAGTAGTTCAGAGTTGTCAATCTCCAGCAGCATGCCTGTAATCTTTCCCGCAAGAGTCGGATGCAAGGCCTGGATAAGTGGATACAGCCGCTCACCTGTATAGGATGCAAACAGTTTGGACATTTTACTCATGTTACGAAGTAGTACATAGATTGTGTGCTATATTCCAAGTCTTCTGAAGCCATATGATAACTATCTGCTACTTTACACTAAATAGACACTGTAAAGTTTCGACAACTGTAGTTTTTTTCAGTACTTCACTGTAAAGGGGAATTCACAAAGAATTAATTTGTTCTCACTGGATAAATATAACAGTACTACAGTGAAAAGTCGTTTATTAACAGTTAACAGTACTATTCTAGTAGCGTCCTCTACTGAGCAGTATTGTTCATTCAGGTTTAGGATACAGGTGATATAAAATGATTCAAGCTGCTCACATCTTTAAACCTTTAAGTGATCGTGTGTGCACGTTTCCAAAGTTGGTCAGCATTTGTGTGTGACAGTTGCATGTGTTATTAATTGGCATTGTACACGTTTAAGGCCAAATATTAAGATAGAAGAATGCAAGTAGATTACCTGCCTTACAAGCTCCCTCACTTTGCCGACAGTTCCTTGGCTTGATGAGCCTGAAGCACCGCTACAGCCTCTTCAACCTAAACAGTGCAGAAAAGTGCAATGATCAAACAAAATCTGATCTTTGAGACTAAATGTGGAGTACATGTTTTGAGTAGGTGAACCTTGGAGTGCAGGGACTCTGGAGACTCGAGCATGTGCAGTAGTTCAGAGTTGTCAATCTCCAGCAGCATGCCTGTAATCTTTCCCGCAAGAGTCAGATGCAAGGCCTGGATAAGTGGATACAGCCGCTCACCTGTATAGGATGCAAACAGTTTGGACATTTTACTCATGTTACGAAGTAGTACATAGATTGTGTGCTATATTCCAAGTCTTCTGAAGCCATATGATAACTATCTGCTACTTTACACTAAATAGACACTGTAAAGTTTCGACAACTGTAGTTTTTTTCAGTACTTCACTGTAAAGGGGAATTCACAAAGAATTAATTTGTTCTCACTGGATAAATATAACAGTACTACAGTGAAAAGTCGTTTATTAACAGTTAACAGTACTATTCTAGTAGCGTCCTCTACTGAGCAGTATTGTTCATTCAGGTTTAGGATACAGGTGATATAAAATGATTCAAGCTGCTCACATCTTTAAACCTTTAAGTGATCGTGTGTGCACGTTTCGTACCCAGGAGTTGTTTCTGCTCTTTTAAGGGTGCAGCTGCCAGCATTGAAGCAGTAAGGGGCTCCTGGCCTCTCACATTAACCGCCGGCTCTGTATTCGGTACTACCTAAAAAACAGTAAAAGAAAGACTGCTGTATTTTTCTATTTAATGCTCCTTAGTGTCAAATCATCACATTGCAGTGGCCAAAAACTTAACTTTTACTTTATGAAGTTGTCCTTAGTTTGAAGGTTTTTTTTGTTGCTTTTCTGTTGACATAATTTTTACAGTGTTCTTGTATTTACAGAGACAGTCAGCAAAGTTCACACTGCGAGAGGGGGGTAAACTGGGGCCTCTGGACTGTGTTGTACTGGGATGCTGCTACATCATAAATAAATGGTGAATAAAATGCCTCCACACTGTCAATTCACAAAGTTTGATATACGTGCATGTTTTAGGCACTTTCTCTGTACGTCAAAAATACTTTTTTAAGACCAGCTTAATCTTAATTACGTTTAATGATTAAAAATCGTTCAAAAATGAGGAATGCTTCACGAATTTGCGTGTCATCCTTGCGCCCCGTGCGAGCCGATCTTCGGTTCCACATCTGTCCCACTGTTCCACTTTTCCTGCATCCTGATTGGCCCGTCGTCTGGCTCGCCATTGGTCGGAGCTCTGTTCCACTTAGCGAGCTTCCCGATATGGTCATGGAGAGTAGCCTGCCGTTGGTCCTTCGCGAAAGTTCCACTTTTTCCTGCATCCTGATTGGCCTGTGGGCGGGACCACCTTGCATTGGAGGCGCGGGTGACGTCAGTACCATTCAGTGCTTCTTTGAAAGCGATCGATCGTTGTCATTCATAATTGTGAGCTAGACTAGTGTTGGTGCTGGTGGAAATTGAGCAGACATAAGTCGTCCGGTCAGAGACGAAGTACACTTTAATGGTTTAAGACTTGTAGAGGTTTGCAGTCCTTGAATTTGGTTGAGTTAATGATTGTAGTACAGGTAGCAGAGAGTATGGCAGAGTAGTACAGAGTAGTTTGGAGTGTAGCTTAGTATGAGTGGTTCTAAACAAACAGAAATAACAATAACCAATTAGTAATGAAATATAAACTCACTCTGTTACTTATACATAATATATATACTTAAACATAATAGCAATATAGCATAGTAGGCAAATTAATGTATAACGATCGATTCAGACATGTACAGACTAGATTAGCACCAGTGTTGGGAGTAACGCATTACAAAAGTAATATTACAGTAGTATATTACTTTTTGCTGTGGTGCTGGTGGAAATTGAGCAGACATAAGTCGTCCGGTCAGAGACGAAGTACACTTTAATGGTTTAAGACTTGTAGAGGTTTACAGTCCTTGAATTTGGTTGAGTTAATGATTGTAGTACAGGTAGCAGAGAGTATGGCAGAGTAGTACAGAGTAGTTTGGAGTGTAGCTTAGTATGAGTGGTTCTAAACAAACAGAAATAACAATAACCAATTAGTAATGAAATATAAACTCACTCTGTTACTTATACATGATATATATACTTAAACATAATAGCAATATAGCATAGTAGGCAAATTAATGTATAACGATCGATTCAGACATGTACAGACTAGATTAGCACCAGTGTTGGGAGTAACGCATTACAAAAGTAATATTACAGTAGTATATTACTTTTTGCTGTAACGCCGTAATATAACGCATTACTAATCAAATTTGGGTAATATTATTACTCGTTACAATCTCAGTAACGCAAGTTACAACAACATATTTTAACTCAAAATTAAGTGGTGAATTTACGAACACCTCAAAACAGCACCAGAGAAAAAATTCCGCGGGTAAAATAGTTTGTCTATCTTCTGTTGCTGGAATTAGATGGTTGAGATGACTGCAGAGACGGATTCTTTAATGAGTGGCTTATGTCTGTGAGTGCGTCAGTGATATTTTTCAGGTGACTGTTAATTTCTCCGATGGCCCTAACGATTTGCTGTTGTGACTCCAGAACAGCATGCGTCAAGACGCGGCCAGATGGACGGGCCTCAGCACTGGGGGGAGCACTGGAAACGCTGGAGACACTGGGCCCTGGCTGCTCAGGAGGGGCAGACTCCCGAGTGGGTGCCAGTGGACGTTCCTGCTGTTGCACCATATAAGTCCAAATAAACACAGGCACATGTTAACTGTGATTTGAGTCTGTTCCTTATTAATGGGTATACGCATTTGCTATAAATGCCATGGATATGTAAAATCTCTGGTGTAGGCTACTTTTGGTAAGCTATATTGCATGCATTTGAAAATTAAATGCAGTCTGGTAAGCTATGTGTACCAAAGTTAAGCAAATAAATGAGAAATTAGTTACCTTCGTGGCAGTCCTGTAAATCCGAGTCTCCCAACGCAACGGATACTACTCCGGAGAGTAAAGTGTCGCCCACAATTGAGGCAACTCTCTGCTCAAAGGGTGTAAGTTCATCGACCCCTGTACCACTGCCTGTTCTGCCCACACTTTGTCGGTGCGCAGCAGTTCTCCACTTAACTTCCACCTTTATATCAGACCATTTCTTTTTAAGCTCACTTACAGTGCGATTTTCAGATCCTGCCGCGTTGACGGCGTCAGCCAAACTCTCCCACTCATTTTTTTTTCTTTTGTTATTAATTCCAGAGGACAAAGTTCCAAATAAAATATTTTTTTCTCGTTTCTACCTCTGATAGTAGCACCTCCAATTCACTTTCAGTAAAGTTTCGTTTCTTGCTGCTTGCTTTTGCCAAAGTGGACTCATTACCATATTAAAATGTATTTAATTGAGGGAGGAGACAGGGTGGGGTATTGTGCTCATGCATGTGTGCTCAATTTCACGTTAATTGGGATGTACAAAGAGAATATGCTTGGGATCCTGCGTACGCAGAGATTCATACATCTGATTT